GAGATGCAAGATGCTGGCGGGATTAAAATTTGGGCAGTTATGACCCAGATGCTGTCCAATAGGGCCATCTACAAGGGGAAGAGAATCTCAGCAGAGGATCCAGAGGACCAAGCAAAATTCTCAGGAGTGAAAGATGTAGTCCTAAGAGACTACCCAGAAAAAGATGGATCAGTCCTGATCCAGAGAATTCCTGAACAAGGGTAGGAGGGATCTCCAAAAGAGTCAGGGGTGTGTAAGAAATGAAGGGTTATTTTCCTATAAAATTAAATTATGCTAAATTTGACCTGAGGAATGCCTCTGACCTCCCTAACAAAGAAGTACAACCTAATTTAGAAGGAAAACAAACTAAAAGGCTCATTTAGGTATGTTTTGTTTGTTTGTTTTATTTACTTATTTTTAAAAAATATTTTTTAGTTGTAGATGTACCTTTATTTATTTGTCTTTATGTGGTGCTGAGGATTGCACTCAGGGCCTCACACATGCTAGGTGAGAGCTCTACCACTGAGCCACAACCCCAGCCCTGTTTTATTTTATTTTTTTTAAACATCTGGCTGTGTCTGAGCCAATCAAAGCAGTTGAGTTTCAGCTATCTGATCCAAACATGTCCAAATAAGGCAAACACCAAAAATAAACATTCAAGCTGTTTCTGTACTTCTCTTCCGTTTTCCGCACATAAATGAATGTAGCTCCCTGCATCTTTTCTGATTCTGAGGGTTGCCCAATTTCCAAATCATTCTTTGCTTAATTAAACACTGTTAAATTTAATTTAGTTAAAAGTTTTCTTTTAACAATAGAGATTGAGATATCTGAATAATATCTAATAGGACTTGATACTCTAATTTTGAAATTGAGGCTGTTTTCTTTTATTTATTTATTTCTTTTTAGATACTGGGGATTGTTTTAAATATATATTTATTTAGGGACAGGGTCTTGCTGAATTGCTTAGGGCCTCACTACATTGCTAAGGCTGGCTTTGAACTCTCAATCCTCCTTTCTCAGCCTCCCAAACTGCTGGGATTACAGGTGTGTGTCACTGCTCCTGTTGACATTTTAACATGACCCAAAGACTGTTAGTTACTAAGAAGTGAACTGAGAAGCCATGAAATTTTCCATGCAAGTGCAGGGAGGTAGGGTGTAGTGACACAGTCCTGTACTCCCCAGTAACGCCAGCTACTAGGGAAGCTGAGGCAGAAGGATTGCAAATTTGGAGCCAGCCTGGGCAACCTAGGAAGACCCTGTCTCAAAATAAAATAGAGGGCTAGAGATGTAGCTCAGTGGTAAAGTGTTTACCCAGCACGTGCAAAGTCCTGGGTTCAATCCTCAGTATGGGTTGGGGATGGTAGCACCAGCAAAGAAGGATAATCCCACTACATAAAATGTTAGTGAAGCAGTGAGAGGTGAAAAGTAAAGATGGATTTTTATTTCATCCCTGAAATATTACAGTTATAGTGTTTACACAATAACCATTTGAGGAAAAAAAATTCTTGTACCAAAAACAAGAATAAAAAGTGCAAGTGCAATGGAATAACAGGTCACTTAAAAAAATTTAAAAAAGCAAAGTGATGCTTAAAGAGAATGAATAAATTGTCCAAAGCTGCATAGCAGAACTGAGGTTCCACTCTTCAGATCCTGAGTTTTTAATATCTATGCCACACATTCTGCCTTTTCCCCTTTAAGAATGGGATTATGTTCATCAAGGTCTGTTCCCTACTATGGTTCACAGGGGAAGGATCACACCTGTCATAATTCTGAAGGATTATGTTGAATTTGAGAAGCTGGTGAGATGCTTCTGAACAATGCAACCTAGCCCAAGGCTGCAATTTTGCTATAAGCATTACCATGTTTTAGGTGCACTGGTCTTCTGTTCTTTGAGATGAAAATAATATATCAGTAGGAGCTAAATGAAACAGAATAAACTGGTCTCCAGGTAGCCAGATAGTATATGAAGTCAACAGAAAGAACATTTCCTGTGGCCTATTAATAATTCAGAAACCCTCTATCCTCAATGCTCCTCCACTCTCCGGTTCCTTCCTACTTTTTCTCACTTTCTTTTTTTCCAAATAAATAGTCCCTGCTGACAAGCTGCACTTAGGTAATCACTGCACAATACAATTAATGACTTTGTTTACAAGATTCTAGATAGTATTTTATTTTTATTCTTTATAGTGTTTGGCCTTTAAAATCAAGTGAATATGGAGATATGTGAGGTTTTTTTTTTTTTTGGCTGCTTTTGTCTTTGGCATATGGTATTTATGCCTTTAAATTTTTTTTTGTTGTCATTGTTCCAGGGCATTTCACTGATGAGATTTATCAAAATGCACCCACAAATCAGCCACTAAGAGATTACTTGGATATAAACTGTTATTAGGAAAATGATCACAACAAAAAGACAATAACAAAGACAGTTTAGGAAAAAGCCAGACCATTAGTTCTTTTTAGAAGGGTTTATATTCTTGCCCCCAGAAATAATTTATCAAAGGCTGTTACTCTGAATGAAATTAGATTTCCCTTTTAGCTTTAGTAATAGACCATTCCTGGAAAAAGCTCAGAAACAGTTGGTTTTAAAAAAAATTATTTTTACTCACAGAGAGATGAGTTTGCCATGTTATTTCTAGTGATGGGATTGGAACCAGGATTCAGTTATGCCTCTGCCAGCTCTCCCTGGCCCCCACCCTCACTCCACAGGGACCCCCAAAGTATGCACAAAGTATTGAATATTTTCAATGAGATATTATTTGGTCGATTATATTTCATTCTTCTCTTTAAGCATAACTGTCACTTTTCTGAGAACGTGCTGAAGCAAAGAATAGGAAAACCATGCATGAAGAGTTTTTTCACTCATTTTTTTTCATTATTTTCTCCTTCACTTCCATTATGCTTAGTCCCACTAAAACACTATGTACTTACTTATTTTGAAGACATGTGGTAAAACCTTTGGTGAGTCTTGCAATGTGTTATCTTACCCAGGAGTTTAGTTCATTATAGAATCAAGATGGCGGCCTGAAGTCAGAGGCAGGTGTGCACCTGTGATCCCAGCTGCTCAGGAGGCTGAGTTGGGAGGATCCATCCAGCCCAGGAGTTCAGGGTCAGCCTGGGCAACCAACTCAGACCTTATTTAAAAATATATATATCTATGGCGGCCTAGATGTGAGCATGTGTACCAAGATCCCATGGTCTGCTACACGCAGCTCCGAGGATAGTTATGTTGTGCTGGTTCTGAGGCCATATGTACACCTGCCAGTAGGAGAGGTCTTCCAGCCTCTGCCTCTCTTCCAGGCTATTTTCCCAATGGACTATCTTCTTAAATTCACTGTGACTAAAGCTGACTTCCCTTCAAACTGGCTCCTCACTTCTAGATTCCTTAGAAGTCATGCTATGCAGTATAGGATTGAAACAAGGCTGAAGTTTAGATTTCTAACCCAATCTAAGCTCTACACTTCTTGTTTGCTCTAATGATTTATTCTTTCTTCTGGAGCCCAATTTCCTCTCCCTATTAAATATCCATAAACATGATGAGTGTGTGCCTGGTGTGGTGGCGTACACCTGTGGTTCCAGCACTATAGACAGGCAGGAGGCTCTCTTGAGTCTAGGAGTTCAGGGTTGGTCTAGGCAACATAACAAGATCCTGTCTCAGAAAAAAGAAAAAAAAGAAAAAAAATCCTAGGGTGTAGGGTTGTAAGCAATTAAACAGGGAACACTGCTCAGTGTCCAGAACAAATAAAAACATAGGTGCTAAATAACCATAGTTTTCCTTCCTTTCTGCTCACTGTCAGGGATACTGTCACTGTCGACATTAACCAAGTTGGACATGATATAATCGATTTTCTTTCCTTCCTCTTTTTTTTTCCCCTTAATTAAAGTCAATCATCAACTTATAGGCTACTAAAGGTAGCAAAGACCTTAAAAATCACAGTCATCTGATATATTGGTAAAATACAGAGACAAGTCACCAATTATTCTAGCAATTCTGACTCCTATATCAGTTCAATAACAAACACTATTTCACAATTTACTTGATATTCAAACAATTACATTGAACAAAAATGAATCTATCAACTCTTAAGTAATAATAGATAGGCACAGCTTTGGGCCCATGATCTAGGCTCTATTCTCTGAACTATTGTTCTATGCTTATTTATTCAGAAAAGAGTGTTTGGTAGAATTTTCCCTGCTTTCTGATATGTTCTTTTGTTACACATTCCTTCTGTATTTGCTGTTCACAAAAATGAGGAGAGGAATCTGACTCAGAGAGATAATTAGAAAAGAAAAAAATCATAGAAGCAAAAAGAAGGAAAAAAGAAAGAAAAGAAAAAATAACACAATTCCAAAGGAAGCAATATTAATTTTAAAAAACATAAGAATTGACTAGTTGGTAAATTCCAACAATACATCTACCCTGGAACTATTCACTCCATGTATTTATAGGCTCTAGCATGAGTTCATTTGTGTTCTTCTAAGTAGTTTATAATAGAATATCTAAGGGAATCATTCTACTAGTCAAAAATAAGAATTAGATGTATTCATGTATGTGTTCTTTAAAACATAGCTCTTTTTCCTTTCGTATTTCATGCATGATTCAAATCTTTTAAAGACTTTACCCTCTTCTCCATCTTATGGACAAGAGAAAAACAAATGATCTATAGTTAAATCTCTACACAAAGACAGGCAATATATAAATCATGTGATCTCTTAGTTAGGATACAAACAAATGCCTTTATAAAAGATTCCATGTTATTATTATTCATAGCCACTGAATATTCTGTCATTCAGGATTCTCCTGTAATAAAAGTAGATCCAGAAAAGCAAAAAGACACTATCTCTAATGATAGCCCATTGTACTTACATCCACTTCTTTGTCAGGACAACTTGAAAATTGTTCAAGAGAGCTGGACTTCAAGCTTTCACAATTTGTTCCCCAAACCCCTACCCTGACTCCATTCAATGAGAGACAATAAAGCAAGGAAAACAGCCCCACACAGTGTAGGGATCTAGTGAGTTACCTTTGAAAGGCAAAGCCATGCTGCTTACAGAGGAGGACGACAGCTATGAGCAGGCCAAGGCAATGAGGCTTCATCCCTGCAGAGATTTGCTGTACAACAGAATTCTCTGGAAGAAGGGCTCTGAGAGCTGATTGCATAAGTCTTCTTTACATACTAGTTAAAATATAACAGCATGTTCCCTTTCAGTGTTTCATTCCTGTGGCTCAGTCAATTGAGCTTCCATTTCTATTCCCTGAAAGAGAAATGCACATTTATTTAATTGGGTGGCTGTTTGGTAAGTGAACCCTCAGAAAGAAAGTATGTTGAGACTAGTTCTTAGTTTATATTGTCTAGAGAATGTTTAATTCCTCAGGGGGTGTCTGAACAAGAATAAAAGGCTGGTAATAGACCAGGATCTTGTCTTGTCTGATTCATTGCAATTCATTGCAGAAGCACAGCCATTGAATACTGATTGATCATGTCCATGTTGAGGAAGATCTTGACCAAACTACTAAAACTGTCTACCTTGACTTTTTTTTTTTTTAGCTTTCAAGCTCAGATGAAGATATGAGAAGTGTGGAGGGGGTTTCCCAAAATTTGAGGCTAATATAAGGCTAAGAAGCAGAGTTTATATGGAGGATTATAGAATCTCCATTCAAAAATCTCTTTTCTTTTTTTTTTTTTTTTAAGTTTAAAACAGGTTTCACCAAGTTTCCCAGTTTGGCCTTGAACTTGTAATCCTCATGCCTTAACCTCTAAAGTAGCTGGGACTATGGAAATGTGCCACAATAACTGGTGCTGAAAAATATCTTTCCTTAGCCATATGGAATGAAAGGTTCACCCATAGCAAGGAATACCATGTCGTGGGGGCTGGTTCGAGCAATAGACATCAGTTAGCTTTGAATCACTTTTATTTAAGGAGGGTCACCTCAGTTGCTATCATCTAAATGAAGGCCCACTACCCATCATTTTGAAGGTTCCATTATACCAGTCCAGCCCAAGGCCATATTCATATTCTAAGTGGATAAGAGTCCTGCTACCCCTCCCCCCACTCCCATTGATAAATGCACTTGAATACTCTTGAGGTCTGGATAGGCAAATGTGTAAAATAAACAACCTATCCATAGGTTGAATAAATGAGAAAGAGAAGAGGGAGATTTCAAACTGCTCCCTCTGAGATTCCAAATCATTCAAACAAACAATGGGTTGAGGTGACCTCAACCAAACTACTTTTATGAATCTGTATCTGCTCATACAGGAAGGGTAGACTGGAAGTCAATGAGGAAAAGATGAGTGACCAAGAACTGGGTAGAGGAAATGGGAGAGAGGACACTTCTTTAAGTAAATCTTTTTGACTAATTCTGAATTGGAGAGCCATGTTAAGTTTTCACGTATTCAAAGCAAATAAACAAATACATTTTAAAAGGCATTCAAATGAAAGCAAATTAACCTGTGTTTCAGATGAATAACAGCCACACTGAAGAAGAAAGGGAAAAACTAACCCAAGTAATTTCTACCTTTTTAATTTTTTTAATGCAAAAGGCAACTTTAAAAAGTCAAGAACTATTGTGATAGTGGAAGCAAATGTGACTCCATTTTGTTTTATGACTTCATCCTGTAAAACAACCATGCCAAGTAGAAGGGTCATGACTGGGGCAAGATGTTCTTTTCCTTTTGCTATAGAAATCTTTAAGAACACGGAACTACCTAATGGGGCATTGTTTCTGTAACTAGGGTAACGGGCCTCTGTTTCTGTAACTGGGGTGACTGGGCTAACTGTGATTGGTTAGGCTTCCCGCTGCTTGACTGCACTGTCCCACTTCTGTAACCTGGCTTGCTTGCATTGGCTAGGCCACCCCCCCTCAACATCCCTTTTGCAGTTTTCAGGCTTATAAGGAGCGCCCTTGCAATTGTTCCGGGCTGATCAGGGGAACAGCTTTATGTTCTGGTCAGTCACGACCCGGCGTGCTTCAATAAAGGCTTGATTCGATTATACGTGAGTGGTCTGGAAGTCAGTTTATGAAACCCCAGGAAGAAGCTTTAACTATAACACTATAATACACTGACATTTTTTTTTATTAATTTTTGTGCCAGATATTTTGTTCCATGTTTCCTTGAGAGCACACAAAAATGAATGCATTCTGAATTGAATTTCTTCTTACTGGTGCCATTTTTAGTAATTTCCTTTAATGAAGATCTATGAAGGGTACATTCTGGGTATCTCATATTAACTTTATTCTTCCCCCACTTTCAAATATTAGTTTAGCTGCATGTAACAATGTAGTGTGACAGATGTTTCTCTGTCCTTTGGCATCTACTGTTGAATGGCAGGAATTATTGTTCCCTTTGCAGGAGAGCTGTTCATTCTACTTGAAGGCTTTTAAGGGATTATCTTTATACTTGATTCTTCTCAGATCCATTACTCTGATCTAGATGTGGACTTCTTTTTTTTTATCTTGCTCAGTACATAGAATGTAGTTTTGGTCTGAGGATTTAGATATTTCTTCAATTTTAGAAAAAAAAAATTCTTCAGCTGTTGCATCTCTGCTAGTCCCTTGTCAAGGCTCCCATTGAAGTTCCTTGATTTCTTCAAGTCCATAAAATTCGTCTCCATCTGCTCAGTTCTGAGTGAGTTTCTCAGCACTATTTTCAAATTCACTAATCCATCCTTGGAGGGCAATTTAGAACACATAGTCAATGGAGGGGATTTTAAAAATTATTTTAATGGCTATATTAATCTTCTACAACTGATTCTTTTTCATGTTTACCAATTTTGTTTTTATATCAACATTTAAAAATATTGTTTTGGTGTGAATCTGGAATTTCCCCCCAAATTCCTGTGTTCAAATCAGGATCCCAGCAAGATTCAGAGGTGGGGCTTTTAGGCAATGATTAGGGCTCTGACTCATCAGTGGATGAGTCCAGCAAACGGATTAATGACAGCCGGATGTTCTACTGGGTGATAATTGTGGGCAGGTGGGGCATGGCTGGGGAACTGAGTCTGTGAGGGTGTGCTCTTGGGGACCCTATCTGTCTCTGACCCCTTCCCCCTTCATCCCCAGTCTCTGCTTCCCTGGTGCCATGAACTGAGCAGTCTTCCTCCGCCACGTCCTTCCACTGTGATGTTTCTCTCTTAGTCATGGCTTGAACATCGGAAGCTGTTTGTTAAAATAAATCTTTCCTCTTTTAGTTGTTCTTGTCAGGTATTTTGGTCATGGTGATAACAAGTTGACTAACACAATATGGAAAGCCATTTTATTGTTCAATCTTTTATGGATGAGATTCTTTCTTTTTTTTTTTTTTTTTTTTTTTTTTTTTTTTTTTTTTTTTTTTTTTGTGCTGATGCTGAGGATCTAACCCACGGCCTCATGCATGGTACTTGGGCAAGTTATCTTATGACTGAGCTATATCCCCGTCCCTCTTTCAGATCTGTGGTTGAGAATCCTGATAATACTTATTTTAAAGTCCATGCAACACTGCTCTATAGGATTAATCGTATAGGGATATATTCATGATCTGAGTGTTGATTTTGTTTTTTAGCCACTTTGCTTGGAATTTATTTCTTCTGTGATTTGGAATACTGGTTTGCAGATTTATTTGGAGCCAGACATCTTCTTTTGGGTAGGAAGTTTTCATCTTCTGTTCCTGTCTGCCTGGTCTCCCGTCTCTGTGTTGCACATGCCCTCAAGTAGCCCCTGAACTTCCAATCCAGAACCCTGACTTGTAGTGCTTTTTGGAGTTTCTAAGTCATAAAAATATCGTGGCTTTCAATGGCTTGACTTAGTTACTGTCTTAGTAACTCCTGCCTTAGTTATTCCTCTATCTCCTACAAACCAGTGGCTACTTATAAACCAGTCCTATGTAGCAGTGACAGCATTTTTGTCCTTTTTAATGAGGCACATGCAGTGAAATGTGCAAACTATGTACAACTTGATTAGTCTTCAAAAATGTGAATGCTTAAGTAACCCATGCCCTATCAAGGTATAGAAAATTTCCATCATCCCAGAAAGTATCTTTGTATCCCTCAGTCAAGCTTCCCTTACTCCAACAGCCACTGTTGTGATCCCATCACCATAGATTAGTTTTTGCCTCTTCCCAAACTTCGTGGGATCATATGATATGTGCTCTTTTATGTCCAGCTTCTTTTGTTTAGCCTGTTTTAAAGAGCCTTCCATATGTTGCATGGGCCAGTAGCTTGTTCCTTTTCATTGCTGAGTAGCATTCCACTGTATGAATGTGTTTCTCGATTCTTCTATTAATGGCACCTGGATTGTTTTCAGTTTGGGACTGTAATGCATACAGACAATATGTACTTAGAAGATCTAAGATTTTTGTGGATGAATGTTTTCATTTCTCTTAAATAAATATCTTGGAATGGTTTTGATGAGGAATAGGGATGTTGATTTTATAAGCAACTGTTGTAATTTTTTACAAAGTGATGAAACTGTTTTAGGTTCCCCAAAACAACATATGTTAGAGTCCTAGTTGGTCTATGTTCTTTCATGCAGTCATTTGTCTTCATCTTAAGCTATTCTAGTAAATGTGTGGTGGTCTCTAATTTTGGCTTTAATTTAAATTTCCACAATAACTAATGGTGTTGAGGAAATTTTTTGTGCTTATTGGTCACATTTTTGTGGGGAAAATGTAGTATTTGTTCAAATCATTTGTCCAATTTTTAATCAGATGGTTTGTGTGGGAGTTATTTATATTTTCTGAAACTCAGTCTTTTGTCTGATGTATATGTATACACACCCAGTAAATATATCTTCCCTTGTGTTAGGTGAAGGGCAGGCTGAACTAAGTTGTCTGCAGGGCAGGCTGAACGAATGTTAGCTGCAGAATAATACACACGCTCAAACCCCCCTCTGTCTGGTCCTTTATCAACTGTTTGCGTCAAGTCTGAACACTCAACCCCACTCAAGGCTGAACACTCGACCCCCACCCGTCTGGTGCAACAGAAACCCATATTTAGCCCCTGCCCCATCTGCCTGAAGGCAGAAGATGACACTGTATGATCCAATCGCTGTACACCAACAAGGCAGTTTGCAGACCCAGAGACCCCATTAGATTTGGGCTATAAAAAACTCCCTCCTGCCATGCCCCA